CTTCGACTTGCCATCCCCTAGGGTTGTGGATGCCACGACGATGGACACCCTAACATTCCGATCAGTGAATTTGACGTGTGTTTACTATGTCGGAAAATGTTCTAAACATGTTTTAAACATGTGTTACTACATGTTTAAAAACATGTTCAAAACCTGGTTTAGACATCTGGACATTATTTGGCAGCGTGCTTCCTCTCCATTGATCGTCCTCCACAACCCTAGGGTTGGGCGCGCCACCCCACAAGTGTTCCTCCCCAGAACCTCTCCACTGGGCACTCGGGCCCTGCAACCGCCACCAAGTGGTCCTGAGGCGACCTTCAAGACAGCCCTAAACGGCACAGTGACATCCAGGACAGCCCAAGACGGCACATATACCCCCTCGACATGCCAAGATGACACCAGGTGGCCTTGGAGACGTCTAAAAACGGCCTCGGTGGCCAACAGACGCACAGAAGACATTCAAGATTCCCCCATTCGTTTCCACAACTGCTGCGGAAAGCCCAGTTGCGTTGACGAACATTGACCTGACGTATTTGGCCACGTGGCGAATCACACAGAATAGAGGGCGGCGGTGTATCGCTGAAGGCGTCTTCGATAATCACCCGTAGGAAAATACATCTGTACCAAATTGTGCAAGCGACCCGACGCTTTGACGTATGCTGGGAGAACAGGTGCCGTGAAAGTTTCCTCCGCGTCAAAGAAGCCAATAACAGACAAGTTAGTGTAGGAGTCCATGATAAAGTTGCTGTACTGCGACCGATCCTTCCCAGCGCCGCCCTCGAGGCGCCCCAGGAACATGCTCTCGTGGTTGAGGGGCAGTGGCTCGTACACCACGCGCACCAGCGGGCAGCCCACCGATGCCGCAGCGCATGCGCCGGCCACGGTCTCACAGATGTCGCTGCCCAGCTTGTGGTCTTCTGCGCTCTCGGAGTCCAGCACGTAGACGAGCTCCACGCCGGAGAAGGCCAGCGTGCGCAGGTTCGTCCTCAGGGCCGCCAGCAGCGGGTCCGCCCGCTGGCAGAACGAGCGGGCCATCAGCGAGATCTCGGGCGGCGGGGCCTCGGCCGCTCCACAGGGGGCGCTGTCGGGACGGCGGGCGCCTGCGAGCAGCACGGCAGCGTCGCGCTCGGCTCCCAGACGCAGGGCCGCCGCCTGGGAGACCGCGACGAGGGGAATCAGCAGCGCGAGCAGTGGCGCGCTTGCCATCTGCGCTTACCTCCCGGGAGCTCTCATGCAGACCTCACCTGGAAATGCGGGGCGCGCTCTATACCGGGGCGGCGCAGGGCGTATGTAATGGTGTAGTGGCCGAAAGACCTACGGATGGAGATCTGGATGAGGACGAAAATTTAGAATGAAGAGGCTTTGGATCAGGACTGGGATGCGGGAATCATGCAGGAGGGGGGACGGAGATGGCAGGGGAGGGGGAGTAGGAGAGGAAGCGGGAGGAAGCGGGAGAGGGATGAGAGGAAGTGGGGGAGGATGCACGAGCAACAGGAGGCGGATATGGAGGACGGAGAAGGATGGTAGAGCAGGCGGAGGACCTGGAGGGAGGGAGGGAAGAAGAGGACCGATGGGAGGAAGAGGGGGAGGGAGGGTGGAGAGGGGAGGGAGAGGACGCAGAAGACGGAGAGGGGAAGAACGGCTGCCCACGAGGAGAGGAGTTCAGGCGGGAAACAGCAGCAGCAGCAGCACGAGGAGGAGCGAGACGAGGAGGGCAGAGGCGCGAGGGACGGGGGAAGAGGGAAGGAAAAGGACGGAGGAACAGAAAGGCCATCTGAACGACTTGCATACGGGAGAGTGCAGCAACTGCACGAGGAAAGCGCATCTCCGCAGATGGTTTGGCGGTCCGCGCCCTGCACGCTTGCAAAGGGCGCGCGCGAAGAGGGAACTGTCCTCGCCAGCTGTTCCAAAAGTGCGCCTTGTGCCCGCGAGGAACGGGGACCTGTGATCATCTGAAGACGGTATCGTCGGCACAGACAAGTCCCGACTGGCATATCGAGCAATATGCTCGTAACAGCAAAACGAAGCAAACGAAACGTCATCCCTCTTACCCTGCTCCTCCTGCTCCCGTTCCTCCCTACCCTCGACGTCCTCTTGCTCGTGCGCCTCCTCCTCGTCCGCCTCCTACGGCTCCTCATCTTACTACTCCCACTGCTCATACTCCTGCTCTGTGTCATCCTCCCCCCTCCTCCCCCCTGGCGGCGACGGACGACGACAGGCGACGACGACGACGACGACGACGACGACGACGACGACGACGACGACGGCAACGACGACAGCCGTGTCTTGCGAACAGTGGATGCAACAAGGAACTTTGACATTCGTGTGGTTCTCCCGAACGCCTGTACCCGCCCGCGGAGTCGATGAACCAACCCCCTTTAGGGGGGGGCGTCTTTTCAACCAGCTCCTGCCCCTGGGAGAATCATTCAGTACTCTGTACACCCTGCGAAATGCTTAAGAAATCATGGGTTAAGAAATTCATAGTCTCAGAATTTGAGTAAAGACCCAGGATTTCGATTGAAATCTTAGGATTTACATTGAAACATTAAGAATAATCGAGACTCTGGACGAAAACTTAGGTTTTCTTAAGCATCGCCTAAGGTGTATGCGCACCACGCCGCCATGGCCGTCAAGCGAGCAAACGAGCCCCCCGTCGGGAGGGCGCCAGGATGCCCCGAAGCCCCAGAAGCCCCAGGAGGCCCCAGGAGGCGCCAGGAGGCCTCAGGAGGCACTGCAAAGGCACCAGGGAGCCCTGGGTCCACAAAGCCTCGCGGGGTGCCCACAATGGGCGCCATGACACCGGCCGACATGGGCGAAATCGGATACCGCTTCATCCCAAATCGAGAGCTGTTATGGCGCCGAGACCCCCCTCCTCCCTGAACGAGTTATTCACAAGGCATCCCTCTGGAACACGCTGGGCTGGCCTCGAGGTATCCACCAAGTCGTCTGGCCAGCCGAGGAGCTCAATGTGTGGACGCCACGGCTTTTCGAGCTGTGGGGTGCTGCCGCGTCCTCGCAAAAAGATCGAACTCCTCCTTGGCTCCTTGGACTTGGGGGCGGCCAGGGGGGCTGAACTGGTTGGGGCCCAGAAAGTCGGTCAGGAAGAAGGGATTAGGCCAAATCCGTTCAAAATCAGCCCCAGACCACTCCCAGGGTCCAATCGGTGCAGCCCCAGATCTGTGCTTGACGGTCCCAGGGGCCCGAAACCTGCCCCCCTGGCCGACAAGGCCAACAGCCACCCCGAACCCAGCACCTCGGACTTCGCCCTCCCTTCCTGCTGGCCTGAAACAGTACCTCAGACCCCAGCCGACTCCAAGCTTGGCAGGCCAAGAAACGTGACTTCCGGAGGTCCGCGCGGACTTGATGGATCGGCGCTGGACCGCCTCCCTGGCGAGCGAGCAGGAACACAGCAAAGCCCCAGGAGAGCGAGGCATTGACAGTGTAGCTCAACATTGACACGGCGGTGGCCGGGGAGCCTCCGACACACGGACGACGACGCACGGAGCATCGCAGAGGCCGCGCGTCCTGGCTGATGGCCGAACGGTCGCGCAGCTTGGCGCGCCGCTGCGCCAGCTCGATCTGCTTCCGAGGGTCTGGTGGCGCGCGACTCCCGGGGGGTGCACTGATGACGATGACGATGATGATGATGATGATGATGATGATGATGATGATGATGATGATGATGATGATGACGGTGATGATGATGATGATGATGATGATGATGATGATGATGATGATGACGATGACGATGATGATAATGATGATGCTGCTGCTGATGATGATGATGACGATGACGATGACGATCATGATGATGACGATGATGATTATGATGATGACAACGATGACGATGACGATGACGATGACGATGCTGATGCTGATGCTGATGATGGTGACGATGACGATGACGATGACGATGACGATGACGATGACGATGACGATGATGATGATGATGATGATGATGATGATGACGATGATGATGATAATGATGATGATGACGACCACGACGAGGAGGGGAGGAGGAGGAGGAGGAGGAAAATAGGGAGGAGAGAGGAGAGGGAAGGAGGAGAAGGGGGAGGAAAAGGAGGGAGGAGGAAGACGAGGAGGAGGAAGAGTGGGAGGAAGAGGAGGAGGAGGCGGAGGAGGAGGGGGAGGAGAAGGAGGAAAAAGAAGATGAGAGGAGGAGGAGGAGGAGGAGGAGGAAAAACAAAATGAAGGAGAGAGGAGAGGGAAGGAGGAGGAGGAAGAGGAGGAGGAGGAGGAAGAGGAGGAGGCAGGAGGAAAAGGAGGGAGGAGGTAGGAGGAGGATGAGGAGGAAGGAGGAGGAAGAGGAGGAAGAGGAAAAGAAGGGAGAAGGAGGAGGAAAACGACAAGGGAGGAGGAGGAAGGAGGAGGAAGCAACTGCTTTCTAGAAGCAGCTGGCAGCACAAGCATCCGCAAGCAGGTATTGGAACAGGAAACAAGAGAGAGGGACCCGCCGCCGCCAGAAACAAGAGGCGGGGGGGGGGGGGGGCAAAGGTGCGCGGGCGGCTCCATGCCACACTGCCACCCTCGACGACAAGGTCGGAACCCCAGCTGCTGACGCCGCACCCGGGCAGCATGCCCTTCCTGAGTCCGACTAGAGACGTGTACTGTGCCTCGACCTCAGCCTGGTCTTCGGTCGGGCGTGTCCCCTCACAGGCGGATGTTGGACGAAAAAGGAAAACGACTCAAACAATACTCAGAACTTGTCACAAAAAAAACCAGACAGATCGTCACCAAATAATTTGTGAATGTTCCTCCTGTAGAGGGACAGGCCCGACTTACGCCTCGTCTCCAAAGAGCACAGCTTCACGCGCCGAGGAGAGCTTGCCCAGCTCAGGCGGCGAGTGGCACATCGGCCACATGCCGAGCAGCAACCACATAACAACATATGCAGCCCCTTCGCCGGCACCGAGTGGGGCGCACGAGGGGTTCTCCCAAAGAATCTGGCAACTGGGTACAGCCTGACAGGGGAATCAACGATCTTCGTTCTTCACATACATACATGCATATATACATATATATATATACATATATATACATATATATATATGTATATATATATATATGTGTGTAAATGTGGTTTGTCTTTTCTTGAATTTACTAAATATATGAACAAAAACGATCGGCGAGAGTCGCGGATAGGCGTGCGACAAAACCAAACCACCACGCCTTTCCGCGCCTCTCCTCCCTTCGCGGCAGGTCCTGCGACCCCCGCGTCAGCAGGAGGCTCTTGGACTGGCGGCTCGGGGGGGGGCAGGCTGGGCTTATGATTGTTCTCCGAGGACGTCTTGGGCGACCGGGGCATCCGAGGCCCCAAGACCGTGCGTTGACGGAACGCGCGGTGAGCGGCGAGGTCTCTTCAGATTTCGAGGTCACAGCACAGTCTGTCACATCCCTGTTGTCGGACCCCCGACCGAACCACGGAGTGGGCCGCCAATGGCCTGGACAACCCTACGGAAGGAGAGACTCGCCAGTAAACTGTCCTCCAGCGCCATCGAGCGGCGAGGGGATGAATGTCGAGAAGGGGCGGGAGGGAGAGTGACGGTGATGGGAAGGGGGGGCCGAATGATGATGATGAAGATGACGATGATGATGATGATGATGATGATGAGGATGATGATGATGATGATGATGATGATGATGATGATGATGATGATGATGATGATGATGATGATTATACTGTTGTTGATGATGATGAGGGTGACGATGATGATAATGATGATGATGATGATGCTGATGATGATGATGATGATGTGACGATGATGGTGATGATGATGCTGATGGTGATGCTGATGGCAATGATAAGGATGTTGATGGTGATGATGATGCTGATTATGATGATGGTGATGATGAGTATGATGATGATGATGCTGACGCTGATGATGATCGTGATGATGAGTATGCTGCTGATGATGATTGCGAATGTGATGCTGATGATGATGATAGTGATGATAAGAATGATGGTGATGGTGTTGGTGATGGTGATGGTGATGGTAATATTGATGGTGATGATGATGATAAAGATGATGACAAATCTGATGATGATGAGGAGGAAGCGGAGGAGGAATAACAGTAAAAACAATTATCCTGGCGAAGGACCCAACCATATGCAGTTGTGGGTACCGCAACTGTGAAAATCTTCTTCGGTGAAGCTCCCTCTGGGGCCACGAAGCGCTGCACTGGGTGGGGGGGAACGCATGCGGGCGGTAGCACTGGGGCCGTCGGTGGAGCTCCCTGTGGCGCCACGAAACGCTGTACTGGGCGGGTGAAAATGCCAACATGGGCTTCCGGGACGCATGCGGACGGTCCCACTGGGGGCTTCGGTGGAGCTCCCTATGGGGCCACGAAACGCTGTACTGGGTGGGTGAAACTGCCAACATGGGCTTCCGGGACGCAAGCGGACGGTCCCACTGGGGGCTTCGGTGGAGCTCCCTATGGGGCCACGAAACGCTGTACTGGGTGGGCGAAACTGCCAACATGGGTTTCCGCGACGCCTGCGGACGGTCCCACTGGGGGTGTCGGTGGAGCTCCCTGTGGTGGGTCAAACTGCCAAATTGGGTGTGGTGGACGCATGTGGACGGTCCCACTGGAGGCTTCGGTGGAGCTTCCTATTGAACCACGAAGCGCTGTACTGGGTGGGTCAAAGTGCCAAATTGGGTGTGGTGGACGCATGTGGTACCCACCTCTGGGGCCTTAGGTGGAGTTTCCTATTGGGCCGTACTGGGTGTGGCGGACGCATGTGGTACCCCCCCCCTCTGGGGCCTTCGGTGGAGCTCCCTGCGGGGCCACGAAACGATGTACTGGGTGAAGCAGACGCATGTGGTACCTTTTCCTGGGGCCTTCGGTGGAGCTCCTCATCGGGCCAGGACTCGCTGTACTGGGTGTGGCAGACGCAAGGGGTTCCCCCCCCTTGGGGCCTTAGGTGGAGCGGCCTATGGGGCCACGAAGCGCTGTACTGACTGTGGCAGACGCATGTGGTACCCCCCCTTGGGGCCTTCGGTGAAGCTCCCTAGGGGGCCACGAAACGCTCTACTGGGTGTGGCAGGTGGTACCCCACCCTGGGGCTTTACGTGGAGCTCCCAGTGGGGCCACGAAACGCTGTACTGGGTAGGTGAAACGCATGGAGGAGGGAGGAGAAAGAGGAGGAGGAGTGAGTGAGCCGGTGGGACGGATGGCGCTGTCCCTTCAGAGCGAGGACCCAACACCACAGGATGGCTGGGAACACCCTGGATTCTCAATAAAAACGAGGAGGGAGAGAATGGTAGACACGAGGGGGAGGGGGAGGAGGAGGAGGAAGAGGTGGACAAGTGCAAGGACGAGGAGGAGCGGGATCAGTAGGAGGAGGAGGAGGAAAGGGAAGGCAAGAGGAAGAGAACGCATCGACGGACACTGAATTACAGGCGCCGACGAGAGCGCGGTCGCTCGCAGGGAAGGCGCCTCCGGCCGCCGCAGCATCAGCGGCAGCGTCGCTGAGGCCACCTGAGCAAGCAGCTTCCGTTTCCTCCTCCTCCACCTCCTCATCATATTATTATAATTCGTCGTGGTATTATCATGTGATTATTAATAGTCTTCTTATTATTCGTATAAGTTTGATCATTACTATTAGTATGATTATTTTTATTATTGTTATTAGTATCATTATTGTTATCATTGTTAGTATTATTAATAGCAATAATATTTTTCTTATTAATCTCAATATTCGTTTTATTATTATGAGTAGTGTTCTCATCATTTGTTAGTATTGTCATTCTTCTTATTATTATATTCAGTATCATTATTACTGTCGTTCGTATGCTTAGCATTATTTTCGCATTATGATTATTAATCGTCTTATTGTTTTAGCAGTATTCTGTTTATTCTTAGTATTCGTAATATTCTCCCCACTGCTATTACGAGTCTTATTGTTTTCATTATTGTTCGTCGTTTCCGTATTATTATTTCTCTTATTCGTAGTTTCTTATTATTTTTGTTTTTTATTATTACGACTATTTTTTCAGTATTCGTACAATTCTTACTATCACGATTGGCATTCGCAATCGTACGCGTCTTAATCTTATTATTATTGTTATGTTGCTTGTTATTAATAGTCAAGCGATTCTAATTAGTAGTATCGTTCTTCGTCTTATTATTCGCATTCGTTTTATCATTATTGACACTATGTTTCCTATGATGTTTCCTCTTCTTCTTCCTTTTCCTTTTCCTCCTCCCCCTCCACCTCCACCTCCTCCTCTTCCTCCTCCTCCTCCTCCTCCTCCTCCTCCTCCTCCTCCTCCTCCTCCTCCTCCTCCCCCTCCTCCTCCTCATCTTCCCCATTATGCTCCCAACCTCCCAACCTCTCAGACTCCCAACCTCCTCTTTCCTCTTTTTCGTCCTCCTCCTCCTCCCTCCCTCATGTTTCCTTTCCACGTTTCCTTCACCTCCCCCTCCTCCTCCTCCTCCTCCTCCTCCTCCTCCTCCTCCTCCTCCTCCCCCCCCTCCCCGTACCTCTCGTCCTCCTTCTGGGCGCTCCCGGAGATTGGTTGCGGGGTTTTGAAAATATTCGAAAGGTTCGGAAACGCGCCGTGCCCTTCTCGAACATCCGGCTGCCTTCGGGGGCCCCAGGGGACCTGAGCTGACCTCCGGGGATCGGGATCCCACGCGGAAGCAACCCTTACCTACTCCACCCACCCATACAAATAACAGCTCCCTGTCGCATCCCCAGACGCGTCGGCAGGGCGGGCCGGGCGTTCCAGCTTTTCGCCGGACATCGATAATCCCTGCAATATGTTCTGATACTGCCTCACGTTCAGGGGGCTCCGCCGAAACTATGGCGAGGAAGGAGTGTTCCGTGAAGCTGAATATAGGGTAACCCTAAAGGGAGGAGGCCAGCCCGCCGGCCGACGCGCGCGAGGGCGGGCACGCTCCTTTTCCGCTATCCTAAAGCCGAAATAGCCGCAGCTGTCAAACATGTCAGCGCAAAGAAGAGAAAGCAAGAGCAGCGAAATGGTGGTGCGGAGAGGAGTGCGTTGACTCCCCCCACGGCGGGGTGTGTAGACTCGCTCCGACCCCCCACCCACCCGGCATGTACAAATGCACAGCCACAGGAGCCAACCGCAAAAACATGTTACGGCTGGACTGTGGCTGCCGAGGGGCAAGAGACCGAAACAACCCGACGAACTCGCCAGAGCTAATATCTAAGTCCAACTCATAGAAGTTATTCTACTCCTGCTGCACCCACATCACGTTGATGAGACCAAGCGACGTGGGACCCATGCCGACAAAGTGTCACTGGTCTTTCTGCACAAAATCACCTCCGCCAATCTTCTTCCCGGCGCTGAGGATTATTCCAATCATAGCTTGTCCGCCAGCTCCACTGATACTGCTTTCGCTGGCGATAGTCGTAAGTGTCTCTTCCTTTGCCAGTGTTCCAGCTGCTGGGCTTGTCCTTGCTCTTGGGTCAAGGACGCAGAAACACTTCGCAGCGCTTCACGAGCATGATCATCAGAAACTGGGTTTCCCGCGGGTACGTCTCCTGATCTTGTCCAAGCTCGCCCGCGGGAGGTCCACTCTTTTGCGACTGCGCGTTATCCTCCGATGGCGATCCACGTGAACATAAGATCCCTGGACGTTGCCGCTGTCGCCCCTGTCGGCGCGACCAAGCGAAGGGGCGCAGCCGCCATCGCGCGCGCGGCCGCCTACATCATCAACGGGCCACTCGGCCCACGCAATCGACCGATCCCGTCCGTTCCACTCGGCAAGGGCTGCGCGCGAACTCCGATCACATTCGGAGTCGCTGCCCGACGCGGCTGAGCCGGGCGGCGCTGGGTTGCACGGGGCTGGTCTAGAGGCACGCCTTTCAGTCCAGCCAGCCCGAGCCCTTTCAATGACACCCATCGGACGCATAGACGGCGTTCGAGCGCCCCGCGCGCATCTCCACCCCGAAGCGGCAGAGCCACCCGGGACATTGGCATCGGCGCGCGGGGCCACTAAGCCTGCAGAGCGCTGCACAGCAACTCCCGGTGCGGCTGGGTCGCCCCCAGACATCGGCGCGCCCCCCAAAAAATTGGGGCGCCCGAAGAAGGATTAAACATTAATGAAGACATCGAGCCAAAATTCAGCAAATTCCAGAAACATGATCGATCACGCTGATGTTTAACATCGACGCACGAACACACACACACACACACACACACACATGACGCGCGCATACACACGCGCGCGCACACGCGCGCATTCACAAGCACCGACTTGACTCTCACCCACACACACACTCACACGCACACACATGCAAATACACGCGCACATACATGCGCAGACACACACAAGCACGCGCGCACACGCACAAGCCCAGACACATAATGCACACGCACACACGCGCACGCACTCACACTCACTCTCACACACACACACACACACACACACGCACACGCACACGCACACGCACCCACACACACACACACACACACAAAGACAGACAGGCAGACAGACAAACAGACAGACAGAAAGACAGACACACAGACGACGTCAGGCAGGCACACATGCACACCGTTACACAATATACGCACTGCACACGCACGCACACACACACACACACACGCGAATGGAACACCCCCCCCCCAACACCGAGTGCATCGGACGCAGCGCGCCGCTACGCGCACACACACAAACACACACACACACACACACGCACTCACACACACACACACACACACACGCAACCACGCACATGATCCGCGCCTTTTCGTTGTTCGCTTTGTGTGTATTGTTTTGTTTGTTTTTCTTGCTTCCGTCAACCGTGCCTTCCTCTCCTTCCGCCCCCCCCCTTCCTCTTTTTCCTTTTCCCCCCCCCCCCCACCAGGCGGAAAAGCAACTGCTTTTTCGAAATTCTCTCAGCGAAAGACCGCGACATGTACTTTCAATACGTCAACGCTGCAATGCGAGGGCAGGCCGGGCATTGAAACCGGCAGTCCTTTAGCATCGCGCTCGATTGTTCGCTTCGCTGTCACCCCTGCAGCGCAAGTGCACAGACGTATTTAATATTTGCGCAATGCACAATCATCGACGGGCGCTTTGTGAGAATGCGTCTGTACATCCACGGTATATGCACATCGAAATACAAGTATAACAGGCGTGCCTATATATATATATATATATATATATATAGAGAGAGAGAGAGAGAGAGAGACACACACACACACACTTGTGCACATAAGCGTGTAAGAAAATTTATGCATGTCTGCGCGCGCGTGCTCATAGCACATCTTAGTGCCATTGACTTGCATTAGACATCGCGCATGGAACGGGCAATCGCCCGACAGGAAGTGCGGCGACGCCCCCGCTCATTTTGCATTTTACTATCCGCATTGGCGGCAACGCATTTTATTCGCGCCCCTCCGCAAGGCCCGCCTGACCACCTAAAGGTTCTCAGACATGACCTTTTCGAGGAAACGCAAACAAAATGCCTCGCCGCCGCGGAAGTTGTTCGCCGCCTTCCCCATCGGGCGGTTTTCCGCTTCATCCGCGCATGTCCAACACCACCGTAGATTGCCTTTTGCCCTGGCCTGTTCAACAATGCGAAAGGCCATGTGAAACTTAAAGACCCTGTGGCCTCCGCACTCGCTTCACGCATGACGAAAGTCTAGCACGCTGGTCTGCGATCAAACTTGGTTGGTGGCAGTACAGACCGCGCCCTCCGCGGTGTCATTTCTGGCCCGGCTCCTTGACCTCGTTGTCTCCTCACGCATCGTTCTTCCAGGCCCCCCCCCCCTTTTTCGCCCCCGCATCCCCCGCCCATCCCCCCGCCCCCCAGAAATCCCCCCCTCCTCTCGCCCATCCCTTCCCCCCCCCCTCCCCCTGGATCCCTTCCCCCCCAGTCCCTCGGATCCTCGTCCGCTCCTCCAACTCCCCTCCTCCTTTCCTCCCCCCCCCCCCACCCCACCCCTACCACCAAGTTTGACTCTCGAGGGCTTGCAATGCCCAATCTGCAATTCTGCGCGGGTGCCTCTCGCAAGCCTCGCGCACATCGGCGAGCTCGGCGCGCGCCTTAAACAGCTTACCTTTGCGAGGTCCCAGGGGCACATGCGATTCAACGCACAACGCGGGCGTCAATGAAACAAGCCACCGCGCCCCGGCAGCTTTCGCATACAGCCTCGGGCGTTCACTCCCCCTTCTTCGAAGGCATCAACTGTTTCAAACGAGTCTCATCAACCATAGACACACCCGGGCGCCTGTGCCCAGGGATCGACAGCTAATAACTCGACAGATGATATTCTGGATCAGATTAGCGCGCGCGACCCCGATGACATGTTAACTAACGCCTAACCCCAAGATGCGCATTGCATCCACATGGACGCAATCCACTGTCACCCCAGGGATTGCAAAAACGGGGATCACTAAGTTGAGCCCGTAAACGTTGACAGCGGCATTAAAAGTGAGCTCGCATTGGGGCACGAGCTCGTTTAAAGCATACAAATCACGAACCTGGCCTTCCTTTATCAATC